CTGGTTGTTTACTATTATTTGCACCTGATTACAAAGATCTTCTGACAGAGCCCTCTGAACTTGTTCATTTTGCTCTTGCAAGGCTTTCAATTTGGCATTCAATTCTTGTAGTTTCAAAGTGCTGTAGCGAAGTTTGCTTGAAGTACTATCCAACAGAACAAAGTCTTTGTTTCCTTCTAAAAGTGATTTCTTGGCTGCAGGGATTTCGACAACTCTTATGAAGGATTTGTGGTTGTTGATAACGAGGCGGGGAATTTTCAGACTCTCTCTGTAATCAAGAATGAAAAAAATAGCAAATTTGTTGCTCAGTATGCACAGTTTAACCTTAAAATCAAATTGATAAAAGTAAAAGATTCGGGTAACTAGAAACTACTGATCATTCCACTGCTTTGAAGTTAGAATTTAGTCTGAAGTGTCTGAGAGCTGAAAATGTGAGTATGTTACTGAGGTGGTTGTACATTGAAGAGAGATTTGAAAGTTAATACATGCATACATATACATTATATACATACACGCATACATAACATACTGTATCCGTCCCAGTTGGGCTTTTCAGAATAAAGGTACAATAAAATTAACAAAATAAATAAAAATAAATACAAGATATATAAAAGATACAATAAATACTGTTTTTTTTTTTTTCAGCTGAGTCACCAAACATCCATACCAGTGATTTTAGGATTGAATTTTTGAATGTACTGTTTTTATGCACATTTTGAGTTGCTTCCTTTCAAACTACAGTGTATGGTATTGGTTTCTTTACTAGGTGAAAATGTATTACATAAACAGTGATCTCAGCAAAGATTGGCTTTGGCTTGATAAGTTCTTCTTACCTTTATTCAAAATATTACCATGCTATGAGGTTTTTTTAGTAACTTTATTTTTGCCATTATTGCTCAAATGTTCTGCGAAAATCATCTTAACTGTTTTCTCAAAGAACATAAGTCCTTTAGTGAAGGTTTCAACTTGAGTGCAAAGTCTAATGAGTTCCAGAAAATAACAGTTCTATTGTCTCAAGAATTTTCTTTGCCCGGTTGTGGTTTTGTAAAGAGAAATCTGTAAACTAGATAAGGCATCCAGCGCACACCCAGTCATACATTTAAAAGTTGTTATCACTAGACGGTAGAGTAGATGCAGTCTCACTGGTAACCACTCCAGATCTTTAACAATGGGGGAGACATGGTCATACTTCCTAACGTGCTGCTGATAATACAGGCTGCAAAATTCTGCACAGCTAATGAGACTCCACCAGCAACTGCAAGTAACAATTTTCTTAACTTGGCAGACGAAAGAAGGACAAAAGCTGTCCAGGTTTCAAATGGTGTACAAACTAGCATGTTGTGAAATCCATGACAGCCACAAGCCATTCATACATGTAATGTAGTGTGAACAGCCCTCTGGTTAGAATGACTACCACCCTAGTATCCTAATAAGCACAGGTTAACCTGCTGAGAATGGTTAGCTTTGATCTGTAGGCCAGGATAACACAACTGGAAAGAAACATGCACTGTAAAGAAGTACCTGTAATGTTCTTTCAATTTGTCAACTTCTCTTCCATTGTCGCCAAGTTTCTCCATGAGCTCATCTGCTTTGTTTGAATAGCCCTGCATGACACTGTACTCAGACATAAGCTCACCAACTGCAGTGTTGAGCTCATTGTACAAACCATCAAGCAAGCTGAAGTCCTTCATTAACAGCCCATCAATAACCTGAAGGTCACCACTAAAGTATGCATCATAAAGTAGGGAAATAGCATTCTTGAAGAGGACTATTGCACTGTGTATGGCACGGAGATCACTCAGATTAGCAGAGCCAGTAGCAACCTTCAAAACAAACAAAGTTTTGATAAGATGGTTCCTGTTAGGAATAGGATTTTACACAGTAATATTCATGCATTAGAAAACAGCCCTAAGAAAATACACGCGCTGATTGGTTAAAAATCGTGTTTCTATAACTCGATGGAAACACAGAACTAGCATGAGCTGTTGACATAATGATGGCATGAGCAAAGAGAATTTACATTTTGATGATCAAAGTGAACAAGCTGTTTTTCTTTTTTTTGTTGTGGTGTTTTCTAAAAGAAATAGAAAACATGTTCTCCGTGTTTCTATCGAGTTATAGAAACACTCTTGAAACTTTGGGAGAATTCGAAAAAGCTGTGGCAACACTCACCTGCAGCTCGTGTTCCCACGGCATTTCTCGTTCTCCCAAACTTCTACTCCTGTGTCTATAACTCGATAGAAACACGGTACATGTTTTCTATTTCTTAAGTAAAGTATAGTATTAAGTAGTTTGAGAAGAAACTCCACAACAGTTTTTTAAAGGATGGATACCGGTAACACTCTTAATTACTAGTTCACTGAATAAAGTGTCAAAACCAACTACAGTGGATGGTGATGTACATTGTATCATAATAGATGATACATTTTAGATAGCCTTAGCTAACATGTGACCAACTGACCTTCCCTGGTAAAAATATTTCAAAGATCTTCAATGATCTTTTTGAGAAATTTGTGAGGACAGAAGGTAAAAGATCTTCCGATGATACTGCAAAGAACTTCAATCAAGAATCATGCAAATAATTTACTTTTAGATACTGGTAAAATTGCCATGAAATATGTGTGAATCAAGAGAGATCCTTGCTCAGAACTTATGAGATCCTCATAATATTAAGAATCTTATTATAATAAGATTTTTCTAAAATCAGTATTTAAGTGACTTTGAAAGATCCTTATCCGTAAAGATCTTTGGCAGTTCTTTGAAAACCTTAAAAGATCCTTCAAGATTGTGCAAGATCATTTTTCTTACCAGGGTTGACTTTATTATCACTACTTCCCTCAGTACAAACATGCTATGCTAGGATTACCATGATGAAAATTACCAAAAACCTCGCTCAGTTTATAAAATTGAAAATTTTTTTAAACATGATGATTGAGGCCAACACCATGACTCTACATACATGCTCAAAAACAGAAATCAAAGGGAGGATGGGAGAAGGGAAGATAACCTAATGATAACAAACACAACCTTTATCCCTCTTCTCTACACTCAGGCTCAAGTGGTGTGTTGGCAAACAAATTCCATTTTTTTATTGCACTGGAAAATTACACCTGTAAGATACTTATATAGCACATTATAGCAAGTTCAGATATCACATGTAGTGACTGCATGTAACATTTTGCACCCACCATTTTCAATCTTAATGAAACTACTTCAATTTTCTTACCCTTTGCATTTTACGTTCTATATCTGGGCAGCCCTTCAAGGCCTTCTGCAGTTCCTCAGCAAGGTGTCTGTTCATACAAAAAAATTCAACAGCATCTAACCTCTTTTGAATAACATTAACCTCAGTTGATGGTGCACACAGACGGGAATGGAGCAATCTTTGTCCTGATGCAGTGGACGTGCTATTCATGACTCCAAAAAGTGTAGCTTTCTTGTCTGTACCCATTAACGGTTTTGTCAGCTCCAGAGCTCTTCTTGTATTAGAATCTATTGCCATATGAGTTTGATGCGAGAACTTTGAAGGCTGACTTACAAGGGGAGCAACATCTCTTTGCGTGTATGATACAAACTTAAGGAGAGCTGCTCCTGCTGCCATTTCTAAGGATGAAAACTGTGATGAGACCTGGAGATACTTTGAGAGTTCTGAAACAGTGCGTTGTTCGCATGATGGATCCATATTGAACCAATCAGAAGGAACAAGGGTGAGGTGATAATCTTTCACACGTTCCAATGGAGAGCTTTTTAAGTTCCCTCCTGTTTTATGATTGTGTTGTACCCGAGCATCTTCCAAGTGTTCCTCAGCTATCAATATCTGTTTAAGAAAGAACAGTAACAAAATAAACCCTATTTGATTTTAATTTGGGAAGGTGAGAATGGAAGAGGAGAAAAAAGAGGCATACAGAGAGTTAAAAAATAAAAAATATTAACAGTAAATTACAAATATATTATCTATGTGCAAAGTAAAAGCACAATTCAGACTGGTACACTTCTTAAAAGAATTATGCATTTCAGTGTCTCAACCAAAATAATCACTCAGTGTGCATGTTTAAGTTGACAATTTATTCATTCCAAGGAATTTGCTTTGCATACCAACTGTGAATTAACATTATTAATTAAAATTAATTAATTCTGAATCAGTAATTAAAATTTTTCAGGACTTTGGAGAAGGAGTCTGTTACATTGCACACCTGGATCGTGGAATATAAAGTGTA